CAGCAACTCCTAAGGCCATAGCTCTATACTCTGCCTCAGCTGTCGATCTCGCCACCACCGACTGCTTCTTGCTCTTCCACGAGACTAAGTTGCCTCCTATAAAGATACAGTATCCTGAGGTGGACCTCCTGTCATCAGCACAACTAGCCCAATCAGAGTCACAATAGCCCTCAATGCTCATGTGTTCATTTTTCCTGAAGATTAGCCCTTTTTCGGGGACATTCTTTAAATACCTTAGAATCTGGTACACTGCGTCCATATGACCCTTCCTTGGATCATGCATGTAGCGACTCACCACGCTCACTACAAAAGAGATATCGGGACGTGTGTGTGACACAGATAGATCAACCTGCCCACCAGCCTTTGGTATCTATCGCGATCAACTGGTTCTCCAGCTTCAGCACCCAGCTTAAACTTCTGGTCGATCGGTGTAGTTGCAGGTTTGCATCCTAACATTATTGTTTCTTTGAGAAGATCCAGTGCATACTTTCTCTGGGATAGGACGATCCCCTCCGCTCCTCGAGCTATCTCTATTCCAAGAAAGTATCTAAGCAAGCCAAGATCTTTCACCTCGAACTCCTTACCCAGTCTCACTTTGAGTTGGGCAATCTCCTTCTCATCATCTCCTGTAATAATCATATCATCCACATATACTGCAAGCAAGGTGATGTGACCCCCACTTCTTCGAGAGAACACGGTATGGTCGGCGCTGATTTGCTGGTACCCCATACCAATCATAGCCCTCCTGAATCTATCAAACCAAGCACGAGGAGACTGTTTTAGCCCATAGAGAGACTTCTTTAATCTGCAGACCTTTCCCACTGTCTGATCTGTACCGAATCCTGGTGGTATCTCCATGTATACTTCCTCCACTAGATCTCTATGAAGGAATGCGTTCTTCACATTTAGTTGGTGTAGCTTCCATCCACCATTTACTGCCAGAGAGATTAAGGTCCGAACAGTGCTCATTTTTGTCACCGGTGCAAAAGTCTCATCGTAGTCGATGCCATATGTCTGACTATATACTTTTTCCACCAAACGTGCTTTGTAGCGTTCAACCTGTCCATCTGGATTCTGCTTCACAGTGAAGACCCACTTGCATCTAATTGCTCTCTTCCCTTTTGGTAGCTTTACTAACTCCCAAGTGCGGTTCTTCTCAAGGGCCCTTAGCTCTTCGTGCATAGCAGCTTTCCATTTCTGGTCCTTCTTTGCAACCTGCCAATTGTTAGGTATAGTAACAGAGTCCAGAGATGCAATGAATGCTCCATGTGCAGGGTGGATGTTAGAATATGATACAAACTGAGCAAGATCCCAACCATATCTATCGGGAGGATTTCCCGCATTACTGCGAGTAGTCCTCCGTACAGTTATTGGTGTGGGATGAGTAGGAAGAGGAATGGAATCACCTTGAGAGGAATCTGGTGGTGGTGTAGGTGTCTCAGGAGTCGGGACAGGCGTTGGCAAGGGACTTGGCACCAGTGGCACTGTAGATACTGTTCCCGCAATTTGTTTCCCCTTCCTACTATAGGTAAGTAGTTCCCCCTGAGCCGTTGGTCTAACACCTTCCCGACAGATGGCCTGTTGTCCTTCACAAAGCACACACAGCCAAACACTTTAAGTGGAAGAATCCCACCATTATCTCTCTTTAATGTCTCACACGGAGACTTCCAATCCAGCACTCTCGAGGGCATTCTGTTGATCAGCGCTGCTGCGGTCAACACTGCTTGCCCCCACAATGTTTCTGGGATATTCATAGAGATCATCATGCTTCTAGCAAACTCTAAAAGATGTATGTTCTTCCTTTCCGCTACTCCATTCTGAGCTGGTGTATATGGACAGGTCGTCTGGTGATGTATTCCCTGAGTTGATAAATATTCTTCAAACGCTCTGTTGGTATACTCTGTTCCATTATCCGACCTCAATATCTTCACCACTGCTCCGTATTGAGTCTGAACATTCCTATGAAAGTTTTGGAAGCACCCAAACACTTCACTCTTATTCTTCATCAAGTATAACCAAGTCACACGAGAGAAACAATCAATAAATGTAACAAAATACTTGTATCCATTCATAGAACTTGTGGAACAAGGCCCCCAAACATCTGAATGTACCAAGTCAAATACACGAGAACTTCTATGCTCCTGCTTCCTCTACGACTGATACCAATGTGGAATCCAGCCCTTCACGATCCAGATACCACAGTCCACTACGCCATGTGCCAGTCCCAAGTCTCCGCCCTGTCCCCTTCTCCTGGAAGATTACCTTGGGAATATCAAAAGAGACGATGCATTTTAGTTGGAGGATGATAGAACTAATGGATAAAAGATTGACTGGAAATGAAGGAGCATGCAAAACATTGGACAAAGTTACAGAACCAGTACAATCGACTGTACCCTTACCAACCACCGACTGAAATATACCATCAGCTGTTTGAATACTATCAGGTAATGCTAAGTGAGTATATGATGAGAACTCACTAGCATTACCTGTCACATGCCGAGACGCGCCGGAATCGACTATCCATTCTGATGATCTGTTGGGAGACATAGAAGCAAGAACATGTATGTCATCAGTACCTTTGGTCGGATGAGCATAGGTAGCAGTATTGCCTCTGACGAAGAACAAAGTGGATGCCTCCTCAGTCCCGCTCCTCAAGTCTCCATCCCCTGCTACTTGCTGCTTCTTCCTTAGTATCGCCAGGAGAGCACGGTCCTCCTCAGTAAAGACCACCTCAGCTTCTTCTTCTTCTGCTACCGTCAGATTCGCCCGATTCCCTGCTCCTCTTCCACCTCGTCGACCCCCACGGCCACGACCACGACCTCCGAACTGTCCACGCCGTAGTTGTAGCACTGTCGAGTCTCTCCCCTAGATCCAGTGTTGCTAGAGGCTGTCAGTGCTGACTTCACCACAGGAAGTCCACCTGTCCCCGCCTGCAGCCGAATGCGAGTCTCCTCCTGGATCATAGCAGAGACAGCCTCCTCAAGCGTGGGAATCTTCGGCTGAGCTAGCAGCAATGCGATTCTCTGAGCGAACTCTGATGTCAATCCCTAGAGAAACACCATAGTCCTCTCCTGTAGAAAGGCCCCCCGCTCTTTACATCCCGGGTCCTTGCAGCTAGCCCGAGGGAAAAAATGATCATAATCCAGCCACAGGCGCTCCAACTCTGTAGCATATTCCTGTACAGTCCTCTCTCCCTGGACTGTGGCGTCGATCTCTCCTTTAATCTGGAATACCCTTAGGTTATTCTCCACTCTAGCATATGTCCTCCTCAACTTCTCCCAAACGTCCTTCACCTTCTCAATGCCATCCACCGTGGCGGCGATCGTCGGGACCAACCAGTTGAGAAGCCAGATATACACCAACATATGAGTGGACTTCCACTCATCTCGTCCTCCCGAGTCCTCATCCGGTTCTGTCTTCTCTCCGGTCAAGTAACCCTCCAGGTTCCTCCCTGCAAGGGTGTATCTCACCCGTCGTGACCAACTCAGGTAGGTACTCGGTCCATCAAGCTTCAGATCGATGGTCGGAAGCTCCAACTTCTTCGATGGTCTTGTCGCGCTTTCATCAGCCGACAACTTCATCAACTTCATCAAAGTTGAGACCTCCGCAGGGTTCAACTTCTTGATGATCTCCTCCATCGATCAAGCTTCAGACCCAACACCGTCAAACCCTTGTTGTGCGCAGTGAAAATTTCGGCAGCACTTGTGCTGCACAACAAGAGTACGATCTCCAACAAATTCTCGTTTCTCAGAGGAAACTAGAATCAAAAAATAGTGATATATCTCATCGCTGTGAGATATATACTCTTCCTGTCATCAGTTCGAGGACTGAGTCGAGGGAACCCATGCCAAACTCGAGTCGCACAATAGCGCCAGCAAGCGGCGGTCAAAAAAAGGGGGGGGGGCGGCTGTCGGGGTACTGCGTTCGTCTGGCGTCGCATCAGGGAAGGAGGGGGGGGGGGCGCGTCTTTGTCGCGAACAGGCGTCAAAGGCGGGAAGTGCGTTGTTGCTGCAGGTCGAAAGCAGGAGAGAGCGGGGCGTTCCAGGTGCGTCGAAGGGGGGGGGCCTGTTGTCGGGTTGCCTGCAGGCGGAACAGCGAGGGCGGGGCTGTTCTGCAGAGGCGGAGGGGGGGGTCTGATCGGACAGTGATCAAAGGGGAGACGGCAGCTGCATTGGGAAGAGAGGCGGGGGGGGCGGCGGCTAGGGTTAGGGTTTTTTTTTGTGGAGGCTCTGATACCAAGTTGTAAATGAAAACCCTAATTCATTATGAGATCTCTTGGGCTTTATATAGGCCCCTTACACAACTTACAAATAAGTCCTAACTAATACTAACATGTCAACAGCAAAGAACTCCAATAAAGGAAGAAAACAATATCAACCTTTTTCTTTAGGTGGCTGTGGACGAGAGATGGGATGATGACAATCTATAGTTAAGTTCACATATACTAATCTCATAAAAGAAACTAAAATTTTAATATTTTTGCACATCCTTAACCTAAGAAAGTACAAATAAAATCAATAACATGCAACCAACTGCTTCCACCAACGCTCTAGAGTGGATGAAGAATAAAGAGGCCACTAAAAAAGAAAAATCTTCCTTTTCTGTTAAAGTTTTTTCCAAACTCTGTTTTTGGCTGCCCAATTTCCTCATCTGGATTCATTCGGGTCCCTCTCAGAGTATATCTGGACCAAACACTTCCCGAGTCAAAAGAATAGTAAAAGATAATCTCATGTAAATCAAATGAAACACTACATCCCCACTTAAGGCCAACACATCCTCCCAATCAAATTCAAACTCCTCAACATTCTCAAAACGAACTTTAACTTTCTAAGATACCACAGCTTTAAATCAAATCGATTCAAATATGCACACGCTTTTCATCACCTGATCGTGCGATCAATGTGTGACACCTTGATTCAAAAAGCTGTTGTAGTTCATTTTCATGTATATTATGTATCGTTTATCAATTTAAACAAATTCTCGGCATCTTGCCCTGTTACTGAACCCACCTATACTTGGAACTTCTCTCAACAATATAAACATTACAACATGCAGGGCGCAAGCTAGACTATGATGCAGCTGATAAGGCCGATATGGGAATTCTTAATTCTAATCCTCGCCAACCTCCTCTCTCAAGCCCCTGCAATGAAAATGCCAGGGTTCTACCCGTACCCGATGCCATATTACACAAGCTACTGTCTCAGCTGGAGAGTTGGAGTTGAGGCCAACAATGTTCGGTATTTTCATACTGTTCCTCCTCAATGTGTCACGTATATTGAGAACTACATGCTTGGGGGTCAATATAATAGCGATGTTGGAGTTGTTATCCAGCAAATATTCGCGTATTTAGATGAAACTGTGCCCTCTGATGATGGAAAGGATGCTTGGATTTTTGATGTGGATGACACTTGCCTCTCAAATGTTATGTACTACGGGAACAAGCGCTTTGGGTAAGTATTCCTCATTCCTGTACTCGCGTAATTCTTGAGTTAAAGTTTTGAATGTTAAGTAGATTGTTTTTGGTCAAATTAAAGAAGTTATTTTGTTCTTCGGGAACTAGTTAGAGAGAACCCAGTGAGTCTTTCAGATAACTAGTTGTAGCATCAGTTGGGATTATATAATACTTATGCAAAGTTGCAAAAAGACAGAAAATTTTCTTTTAATCTTATGCATGAACATAATAAAATTTTAAGGAATTGATTTGTTTGTTTTCCCTTCTAATCTTCCTCTTATCTCCATATACACTACGTTTCTTTCCTTTCTTCCTTTCTCTTCATATATATTATCTATCTTATTTTCTCCAGTTAAATAAACTTTTTGGACGTTGAAGATGAAAACTGAACATTTCCATAAGCTGAGGAGCACTTTAATTAATAGTTGTATATTTGCATTATATTATAATAATAAAGAGTCGACATATAATTTTTTTTTTCCAGAGGTGTTCCATATGATCCTATGTCCTTTAAGAGCTGGGCAGAGAGAGGAATGTGCCCAGCAATTCCTGCAGTTCTTGGATTATACAGAAGGTTGCTACAAAGTGGCTACAAGGTTTTTCTTATTACTGGAAGAGATGAAGTAACATTAAGACTATCAACAACTCAGAATTTGTTCATGCAAGGATTTCTAGGCTATGAGAAGCTGATCATGAGGTGCCTCATTAAAAACATTTTCTTATCCCTCTTTTGTCTTAAACTATCAAAAACCACAAAATTTCATCCTTTTTGCAGAAACTAGATTAGACCTTTTAATATAGCCGAGATTTTCCCCCCTCATCATGTATATAGAAACATTTCAAACAGTCATGGTAATTTTGCTATGCTTCTTATCACCAAAAAAAAAAGAAGCAAATTCTCATACCTTATGCAGAAAACTAAAATAGACCATTTAATTGAGATTGTTTTTCTTATTATTTGTAGAAAAACATTCGAAATAGCCATGCCAATTTTCGACGATAAAACAAGTTTATGATAGTTCTCTGCAGGAGATATGAAAATTCATAACACTCCACTCCTCAGTTATATTTTATCTTAATTACAAAGCACAGCTATATGATAAACCTTGAGTTACCAAAGGATTAACCATAATTATTCTTTTGATGCCAATACTTTTTTCAATTGGTTTCTTAGTTTTCATTCCATTTCTTTTGTTGAAATACTGTAGAAATCCATTATACAGAGGAATGGGAGCAGCAATGTTCAAATCTTCAATGAGAAAGCAATTGGTTGACGAGGGTTATAGAATCAGAGGAAACATTGGAGATCAATGGAGCGATTTGATGGGAGATTGTTCTGGTGATCGTACATTTAAATTGCCTAATCCAATGTATTTTGTCCCTTGAAGCAAATTGTATGCATGTTCTCTATGTTCGGAGTGTGGCCAAAGTAAGCCATACTTGAATATTTACAAGTTTTTCTTGCTTTTCTTAGCTTCATCATAAATCAAATTAAGGTTTTCAAAATAAAAGCAACTTATGAAATGAAAAGGAAATAGTTTTCTATCGATGAATTGTCGTTAGGGGTGCGAAAAAATATCTGTGCTTGTGGATATATTTGATAGGACGAATATGAATATACTATGAAATATCTGGATCTATATCTGAACTATTTGAATATATATTGATCATACGGTTGCAATGTTTTGATATTAGATTAACGTATTTGAGGTAAATTTTGATGATCGAAAGATATATTCTTATCATACGGTTGCCAAAATATTATCTTTACAGGTATGATCTTATATGTGTTTTTCATATCTGTTTGTATCCGTATATGCTCTCTCTTATTTGATCCATATTTGTATCTGATTTTATTTGATACAGGTATCATACGGGTTTCATTATCTAAATATCTGTGATTGGTAAGTAGATACAAATATACTAAGTATCTGTGCTTTCCTTATCTATATAAACATATTTGTGATTGCTAAGCAGCTACAAGTATGCTAAGTATCGTATCTGATCCTTATTAGATCCATTTGTGTTGTGAGCAGCGGAATCGAAGGCACACAATTACAAACAAGATTGGAACACTAATCAACAACCAAAAATAATTACCACAAATGCAAGACACCAGATTTTTACGTGGTTCGGCAAATCTGCCTACGTCCACGGGAGCGGCACAATAATTTCTTATTAATAACAAGAAATTACAAATAAGAGAGATGATCTCAAACTTGAGATCTCTCAAACAAATAGCAATTGATTTTAATCTAAAATCAATGCTCAAACACTATCTCTTTCTCTATTAACTCAAATCCCCAATTAATATCACCAACTCCTCTTCCCTTAATAATGAGAACATGAACAATATGGGGCTCAAAACAAAAAAATAGAGAGAGAACGTGAGGAGCCACCACCAGAGAAAATCGCCGCTCCCAAATCGCGCTCAGTCCGCTCAAAGAGCTCACGAGAACAGGGTTTCCCTTTTATAGGGAAACCCTAGGATAATTTCAGGCGAGCCCCCTCTTCCAGCTGTCTACAGCTAGCTCCCACACAAACAGGCGAGCTCTGACTCCAATCAACAATCGGCCCGCACACCCGCACACGAAGCCATCAGGTGAGTCTCGACCTCCCTCACTCGTCCTCGCCTTCAGGCAAGTCCTTTGCCTGCACAAACCTCGCCCGAGCGCCCTCACCTGCACGACCTCGCCATCAGGCGAGTCGGGTCATCCACCTCACCTTCAGACGAGCTTCCAATCCTCTTCGACCTCGCCTCTACACGCAGGATACTTTGCCTTGCCTCATCTCCGCCGTCGCCGACGAGTCGCCGACGAGGTGCGTTCTCCTACAAATCTCCACCTCGGCGAAGTTTTTCCAAAATTGAGCCGACACCAACCAAACCAAATGTCCCACTTGTTGTGTCCAATACGAAGTGAAGCAATTCACGATAATGGACTCAATCCACAACAAGTCAGGAACCCAAATGAGAATGAGACCACTCTCCAAACGTCGGTATCTACTCGCCAAATCGGCTGCATCATAAATGACTGCCTACATATCCTCTTGCCTAAGGAATCAAGCATTCACGTAGTTCACCAAATGGCTTCCAAAGGCCCTCAACAATGAAGAATGTTCAACAATTCCAAACAATGACCAAATTTTACTCCGGTGACAACTTTGGTCAACATATCTACCGGATTGTCCTTTGTGTGGATCTTCTCCAATCCGACGTCTCCATCATCAAATACGCCTCGAATAAAATAGAATCTGACATCAATGTGCTTTGTGCGGGCATGATACACCTGGTTCTTGGCCAAATAGATAATTGATATGCTATCACAATTTACCCTGGTGATCTCCTGTGCAATCCCCAGGTCATCCAATAACCCCTGCAGTCACAAAGCCTCCTTCACAGCTTCAGTCAACGCCATATACTCTTCCTCCGTAGTGGAGAGAGTCACTGCAGACTGAAGTATGCATCTCCAATACACCAGTGCTCCTGCTAGTGTAAACACATATCTAGTAGTAGACCGGCGTTTGTCAAGCTCCCCCGCATAATCGGAATCCACATAACCAATACAATCCTGCTCATTCTTCTAATTCTTCTTGAATACCAAACCAACATCCATGGTACCTTTGATATACCATATAATCCACTTCACAGCCTTCCAATGACCCTTTCCGGGATCATGCATGTACTTTGATACCATGCTCACGGCCTGTGATAAATCTGACCTTTTACACACCATCGCATACATCAAGCTACCCACCGTATTAGCATATGGAACTTTGGACATGTATTCACGGTCTTCAACTGAAACAGGTGACATCTTAGCTGATAGCTTAAAGTGAGGAGCTAATGGAGTACTCACAGCCTTGACATTGCCATCATAACTGAATTTCTTCAGCATCTTCTGTAAGTAACTCCTCTGTGTCAACTTCAACCTTCCTTTCACCCTCTCTCTCTCAATCTCCATACCTAATATCTTCTTTGCTTCTCTAAGGTCCTTCATCTCAAATTCGAATGACAGTTCCTTTTTCAACTTTCTAATAGCTGAAGTATTCCTGAAAACTATGAGCATATCGTCAACATATAACAGCAAATAAATATATTCACCATTCTATAGCTTGTGCATGTAAACACACGGGTCATATGGGATTCTCGTGTACCCTCGGCCAATCATGAAGCCATCGAATCTCTTGTACCATTGTCACAACGATTACTTCAATCCGTACAGAGACTTCTTCAGCTTACATACCAATTATTCCTTTCCTACATCTTTGAACCCCATAGGTTGTGTCATGTAGATCTCCTTTTCTAAATCTCCATATAGAAAGGTTGTCTTAATATCCATCTGGACTAAATCCAAATCCAGCTATACCACCAATGCTAATAAAATACGAATCGACGAATGCTTCACAACAGGTGAAAATACCTCGTTGTGATCAACGCCCTCTAGCTGTGCATATCCCTTGGCAACCAATCTGGTTTTGAACCGAATGTCCCCAATAGAAGATCCCTCTTTCTTTGCATACACCCACTTACATCCAATAGTCTTCTTACCCTTCGGTAGCTTTGCAAGTTCCCAAGTATCGTTCTTCTGAAGAAACCGCATCTCATATTCCATAGCTTCCCTCCACCTAATCGAATCAGAGCTTGACTCTGCTTCCCTGAATGTAGAAGGAACCAAATCATCAATGACTTCTGCTAATAAAGCATATGCAACCATGACATCATCATATCTAGCTAGTCGACGAATATTTCTTCTTGGTCTATTAGCTGTAATAGACTCCTGAACATGATCATGTTCCTAAGTCCCAATATCTACTGTATCCTCCACCTGCCTATCTGTCATATCATCTCCTCCTAGTACTACCTCTGTAGAAATCTTAATAGATATAGTGCTATTTGAAGTCTGTGGAGTTACATCATTCTCCACCTGCTGCGATACCCCACTAGTCTGGCCTTCCTCCACCTACTGAGGAATCTGAGATCTCATCATGTGAGCCTTGTCAAACGTGACATCTCTGCTAATGATCATCTTCTTGTCTTGTGGATCCCACAACTTGAAGCTTTTAACTCCATCTCTAAAGCCCACGAAGATTGCTTTTCTAGCTCCCGGATTTAATTTCCCATCATTCACATGATAGTAAGCTGGACACCCGAATATCCAAAGCAACTCATAATCACTAGCCGCTGAACCAGACCATTTTTCCATAGGATTCTTTCCATGTATCGTAGTGCACGGCAACATATTCACGAGATGGCTCGTATAAACCAACGCCTCGGCCCAAAAGAATCTAGCCAATCCACTCTGTGAGAGAATACAACGCACCTTCTCCAGCAAGGTACAGTTCAATCTCTTGGCCACCTCGTTTTTTTGTGGTGTCTCCCTAACTGTGAAGTGTCGTCTAATGCCATGATCCCAGCAAAACTGTAGAAATGGATCACTCTTGTACTCTCCACCATTGTCCGAACGGAGTACCTTCACCTTTCTATATGTCTACAGCTCCACTTTCTTCTTCCACTCCACAAATATATCCAGAACCTCATGTTTATGCTTTATGGGGTATACCTAATTTCTCCTAGAATAATCATCAATGAAAGTGATAAAGTAATTAGCCCCACCAAGAGACGTGTTCTTGGAAGGACCCCAAACATCAGTATGAACATAATCCAATATACCTTGAGTATTGTGAATTGTGGTGCCGAATTTCGCTTTTGTCTTCTTCCCAAGTAAGTAATGTTCACACAGCTCCATCTTGCAGGTCTTTGCACCCTTCAATAGCCTCTGTTTTTCCAATACCTGCAGGAACTTATCACCAGTGTGTCCCAATCTCATGTGCCATAAGCTGGTAGTATCTTCCTCTGTGGTAATCGAAGCTGCCAGACCCCTTGTTACTATCTTTCCCTTCAAGTAGTAAATGTTGTTTTTCTTGACACCTCGTATTACCACCATGGACCCTTCCGTGACCTTCAGAGTTGTATTCTCCAAGATCATCCTATAGCCTGTTGCCTCTAAAGTTCCAAGTAAAATGATATTCTTTATCAATTGAGGAACGAATCTCACTTTCTTCAGCTCCCGAGTCACTCCGTCACACATCCGGATCTGAACTATACCAACACCACCGATAGGACATACGTGATCATTACCCATGAGCACGACATCCCCTCTTTCCAACTCATCAAAGCTAGAGAACTAATCCCTCCTAGGACAAATATGGTATATAGCACCTGAATCCAACATCCACTCCGTAGAGTCGGCATAACAAACTGACGGTAATGATGGACATGAGTATCCCGAAAAATCTAAATCTGAATTATTGCCACTAGCCTTGGCAACATTCACCTCTGAAACCTGTATGGCTTTCCCTTTATTCTTCCCGGCTTTGGCCTTCAACTTGGGACAATCGATCTTTCAATGTCCCTCTTCTTTACAAAAGCGACATTGATTCTTACCAACACTCTTATAGCCACCTCCTTGCTTCGACTTGGAGCGATTAAATGGACGGCGGTTTGGACTACGGACTCTCACTGCCAATGCATCTCCCGATGCCCTCTCGGAGGGTTCACTATCTCTTCTCTTCAACTCATAGTTCA